AATAGACTGTTGCCTACAATAAAACAGGATTTCATAGTAAGAATCGAGTGATTACCGATATAGGATAGCCAGGAACTTTCCAAGAAAGATTCATGCCAACAGAAAGGAGTTTTTGCTGTGCGAAAGAGTGCACAAGCTCTCCCTTCATCCAGAATTGCCAGATCATCCGAATTTTCTAAGTTTTTCAGACTGCTTTCAGACTTTCCGAATTTTTCTGAATCGCAGTATTTTTTAAAATTTCTTTTTGCATTACAATTTTCGATAGAACTTTTGATAGATTTCATATTGCGCCATCTTTACTATCCTGTAATCATTAGATAATTGATTTTATTCTGACAGACAAGCAGAGAAGGGAGAGAAGATGCAATATGATAAGCATTTTTTTTCAAATTTCATCTAAGATTTCTCAAAATAGCTTCAATCAATGTTTGGTTTTCGAATAAGTCATATGAATGACTAGTATCTCTAAAAAGCGTAATCTAAATAACAATAAGGATATTGTTTTACTTTTTAATGGTTATATTTTAGAAAGATTGTTGAATATTGGTGCAAAAGCAAATGAATGTGTTCAATCTGATCACTTATGTTCGTATTTTTTAAATATTAACCCAAAGACAGCACTGAGTTTGAAACTAATTGTTGCCTATGTATTTTCTATTCCATGTAGCAGTTCTTTTCTTGAATCAATATTCAGTCACATGACTCACTTATGATCTGATCATCGAAATTGAATGGATATCGAATTGATGAAATCTGAGTTATAAATCAGAAAGAATTCCGATATTCCTTGTGCAAATGTTCATGACTTTGTTTTACTCAAGAGGAACTATTGAAAAAAATAGCTTAAAATGAAAGGTTTGTTCGAAAAAACGTCTTAGTAAATGAACTTTAGTTTCTTTTTCAATAAATGTTTTGAATTGTAGGTATACATACATGTATAGATAGTTTATTTTGAGTTTTTTTTCGTGTATTAACTGTCTCTTCTTGAAAATGATATTTTCTAATAGTACTATATTTAATATATTTGTTTTAATATTGATGAAATATATCTACAGAGAGGATAACCAAACTCAGAAAGCTTTTTTTACCAAAAAAATCAACTTGAGCGTCAAAAAGCTTAAAAACCACTACTTTCCGAATTTTTTTCAGAAATTTTCCGAATTCAGGCAAATGAATTCCGATGTGTAAGATTTTGATCTGGCAACCCTGCCTTCATCCTCCTGGCTAAAGTCCTGATTACTGGTAGAACAATAAAGCCAGTGTACTGATCTATCCGGTCCGATCTGACTTTTTCAGATCGGTACCGGTCGTCCAACAATAGATTAAAAATTTTATGATATAATTCTTTTCGTGTTTTTTTCGGATGTAATTAATTCAATATATATAAATTTGATTTCATCCAACTAACTAGAATTTCATATTCCTGTCGTGTTGATCCTAATAAAAAACTTTTGATACTCTATACTAACATTTATGCTTTCAAACATTGTCATTGTTCTAAAAATAAATGATCAAGACGACACAACAGTCTAGTGTGAAGTTTAAGCTTTCATGAAAAGAAAGCTCAGATGAAAAATAAGAATTTCAATAATGTTACATTGTTATGTAATAAATTTCGAGATGTATACATCCCCACGCTTTTCAAACAATCTCAACTAAAGATGACAAAAGTAAAGTTGAAAACTAAAATAAACAAGATTAAATACATATCTAGACAAAGTGAGAAAAGAAAATGCTATTACAAAAATTCATTACTTCAACATTGTGCAATCTTCACCACAAAAAATATTTGACTATAAGTTTTTATATTGAACACATTTTATGCTGTTGCAGAGAATTGAACAAGAAATATTTTAGTAAAAAAATCTGGTCCCGCATGTCTCCATTAGAGCAAATAATAAAGTACAAAGATGCTCATTTATTCTAGGATACCCGTTCGATGTATATTCGCGAATATAACGAATATTTTCGTCGAATCCTTCATGTAAATGACTAATTTTGTAGCTATTTCTAGTTCGAACTTTGATAGAAATTACTTCAAAAAAAACTGAGATATTGTCTGTTGAAGAGCAAATGCTAATTTTTGAGATGATGTCTTTGATCAATTCATTTTAGAACTTTAGTAGAAAGCTCTTATGGTATGTCAAGTCTGTTCCGAAAGTTTTAAAGCTACAGCACATGAGTTGAAATCGAGTTAGGCTAAAGTAGATATATGAAGCTGATTTTAAGGCTAATAATATGGAAAAACAAAAAATTTTGTGAATATATGCGTCGGCTGAATATATATTTTTTTTTTACAAAAAACGATTTGTGAATCATAAATCTGATGAAGAGCAGGTTGACGCTTGTCATTAGAATTTATTCTCGTACGCTTACACTCAAAATATCAGTTCAATATTATAAAGAATAGTAGTACTTTCTGACGCGCGATTACTTCTGTCCGACACTGTATCTCTACTAGCATGACGAAAATATTCTGATTATAAAATAATATGAAAAGTTTTGAGGAAATATGACCTTCTTTATTTGATTGTATTTTTTAGTCTCAATGAATTACAAAAACATTTTCAAACTCCGGCAATAACTCAAACAACAAATATTGAATTAAATATCAATAACAAACAATCGATTACTGTTAATACTCATCTATTATGTTTGCATTCTGATTTTTTTAATACATTATTCAATGGAGCTTTTTCTGAACGTAATCAAACAATAATTCCAATTCATTTACCTGAAACAATACCAATTGAATCATTCATACATTTAATTAATATATTAAAAAATAATGATGAACCAATACAATTAAATCGTTTAATAGATTTATTTCATTTATGTGATAAATATCTACTTGATTATTTATCATATCGCTTAGTTCATTGCGTTCTTGAACAATTCATAAATGGAATAACAGTTGATATAGTTGATATTGAATCAAAACCAAAATTAATTTCATCTCTTATTCGAGCATTTTTTTCTCATTTATTAACAAGTAATACAAATATTTCAAGTGAAACATTTTCAAAATTACTTATAAATTATCCGGATGAACTTCGGACATTAATTATTTCATTTTTAAAACATAAATGTTGGTTTCACGATGAATACTCGCCTTTTTTATCGTGAATGTAGTTTTCTCTTTATCTCTGTATAATTGATTATATTATATTCTACATAACGAAATCACGGGAATGGTTGTTTCTTTTGTTTGTTTTTTTAATAAATGTAAAATAAACTTATTTGAACGAATAAACAAAATGAGACGTTGCTTTTTTTTTAAAAATTATTAGACGGGGATAGACAAAGTACACTTGATATTCTTAAACAAAGTATGGAGAATAATGAATATACATCTGTTAAATTTATCCATGTATGTATCCTCTTCAGAATGGCTTACATCTAGTTGTTTTCCTTTTTTGATAGATCATAAAATCGTTTAAGATGACGTTTGTTGTTTTATTTTAAAACTGTTTCGTTTTTATGTTATGTCAAATTTGAATTTAAGATAAAAAAATAGAAACCATATTTCTTATCATCAGATGTAATGTTCATTAAGTGACGATGAAAGCAATTGGCATCTATATTTTTTAATTATTTTAGGCAAAACAATTGACTTGCTTATGATAGTAGTCAGTAAATTCTAAAATCCGGCAAAGTAGTCTCGAATCCGACCTCGGAACCGAACCAACGGGTCATAGTCTGAAAATGACTTATGATAAAATCATCGTCTAGATTGTCTGTAGTATGTTAGTAACATAATACACACGTCAGATAAGAATTATCTCGAATCTTCAAAATGACTACCAGACTCACGAGGGAAGTCGTCAAGCTGATAAATCGCTTTTGAGTTGAGACAATGTGATCCAAATGAGCTAGGAATACCCAGAAAAGAGCTCATGGCATTAGCTTATTACTGTGCTTTTACTGTCTTTTTTAAATGAATGCCATGGTAGAAGAAAAACTGATTTTTAAAACTTTACCTAGAGACAGAGCTTAGCGACAATAGCATCAGATCTTGTCGCTGTTCTTATCTTAAGATACACCTATGGTAATAGTATGTTTTTTACATCATTCATATAAAGCAGCAGATCTAATATTCTTATTTTAGGATAGAAGCAAATCAAAAAACCTTTGAACTCTTTTCAGAGTATTGATAACTCATTTAGGTCTACATAATATACATAGTCTCGACTCAAAAGTGATTTATCAATTGGAGGAGTTCTCTCGTTAGATTGAACAATATCATGGATATATGGAGTACAGTGAATTTATTATTTTTTCTATTATTTAAATAAATCTCAATATTAAAATAAGCAGCAAGTGTGTATTTAGGTGCAACAAAATTCTTTTTTTTTCTATTTAGATGTATCTCAAGATCAAAAGGAATGGTAATATCTATTGATTGCACATGATAAAGCCAAAATCATCGCTCTTCGTAATCATGACAAATATTTATGGGCACGATAATAATAAACGATCGTATATCCGCCGAGGCAGTCGTAACTCTAAAGCTGAACATTATGACTAGATTCGATCATCGTAAATGTTGTATAAAAAATTGCAGTTTTTTGTAAAAACTAGAAAAAATTGCTTTTTTAGGTGATTTAATCACTCTAAGAAATCGGGATAAAATCACCGAGTTTGATCACATGGGACATATTATAATCGTAAGCAAAATGGTATATTAGTATGTTTTGTTAGATCCATCAACAACAATTGATTGATTATAGATACTAATCACTGTTCATCTTACATAATAATCGTTTGATATTTCTTTTTTACATTCACTTCTAAACAGATCAAATCACACCTCATGGATACATATATATTGATGATTTCTAATTTAACAATTGTTTATTAATGCTTAAGAAAGTTCTATAGATCTATTTAGTTGTTTAAAGAAGGAAAAAATTGCTTGAATATGTTTATTTAAATAAATACTATATTTCCAATACAAAAGACGAATGAAATTGTTACATATCCAATGGACTGTCTATGAATTAATTTTTCTTTCGTGAATTTTTAACTGGTGGAGCTGGTGTTTCTTCTTCTTCTTCTTCTTCTTCTTTTTCTTCAGACTCGCCTTCGTCTTTATCTTCGTCGACGTCTTCTTCATCATTATCGTCATCGTCACTTTTATGTTTTTCATTTTTAACAGCTGTTGTATCCTTTTTTGATGTTTTCGCTACAGGTTTAGTTGTTTTACTGTTTGATGGTGGATGATTTTTTTGAGCTGATTTTGATGATGGAGCTGGTTCACCAGATTTTTCATATTCTTTTAATTCATTTTCATAACGAACTTTTTCTTGTTGATGTTCTTTTTCGTAATGAGCCTAAAATATATCAATATGAGTATTAAAAAAAAAACATATTTGTACATATATATATATATATTGACTTTCGTTTTTAAATCAGCTTGTTTCCATGCAGCACCTAATGCTTTACTCATTTCAATAAAATTATCTAAACCTGATGCTTTTAATTTTGGTCGTTCATCAGCCGAAAATAACATATAAGCAGATAATGGTTTTCTTGGAGCATTTGAATCTTTTGTTGATTTTGATGGCATTTTTACTTGAATAATATTAGTTAAGAAAATGTAAATATCGTAAAAAAGATTAGTTGAATGTAAGTTATTTCTTACTATATAAGAAGACGAATGAATATATCGATAAGAATGTTTCTTTCTTTAATGGACGAGATAAATTCTATCATTTCGACGTGCATGGAAAACAAATAGAAATAGTACATGTTTTGTTTTGAAAATATACTATCTGTATGTATTATTGATAAAATAGATGTCGATCAAAATCTATCGAAAAGAAATATAATGTTTTCACTATGAACTTATTCTTTTTAATTCTAGCTCATTCGTGAAAAAAAAAGAATCTGTTTTTTACAAAATGCATTATAATTTTGTACTATTATTGAAGTTAAAATATAAGACAGGTTGATATTTTTTTGTATGGTTGTCGATAGGAATACAATAGACATCTGCAATATTCAATATTTAAGATAGAAGACTTATGAACATCGCAATATATATCGAAATTTGATTTGTAAACAATGGATCGATCACGTTAGTTATTGATGGAGATTTTTCAAAACGATATACTGAAGGTATTTGACTTTCAATTTAGACTCTTAAGAAGACTAGTCGATAGGAAAAATTCTTGTCTTTCAATCTAGGCAAGATCAACATTTCTAGCTAGTTTCATTCAAGAGTTATAAGATTTTTCTCAAATATTGTTGATTTCAGCTAATTGACCCGTGATCATCCGGGAAAGCGACTAGACAGAAATAATTCATCATGTTGAATTAAATAATGATATTTATGTTTAACTTCGAACTGATCTAACACTGTTATCGCAATATTTCTGAAAATTCACAATCAGTCTTCATCTGTAATGAAAGAGTGATATTTCGAAAATATTGAGATCATAGTGCCAGATCAGTTTGAACTATAGAATAATTATCATCATTCGATTCAACATGATGAATTACTTCTACTTAGCCGCATTGCCAAATAATTATGGGTCAATCGGCTGAAATCAGAGATCTCAGGAAAACTCTTATAGCTCGTGACTGAAACTATTAGCTAAGAATGCCGATCTTGTCTTGATCGAACGAGAAGAATTTTTTCTATCAATTAGTCACGTCACTGGTCTAGATTGAAAGGAAAATGACTTCAGAATATCGTTTTCATAAAACCTCCACAAGGAACCCACCTGATTAGTCAAATGCTGACCAATTGAGTTGCGATATATTCTGACAGGTCCAGATCTTCTGCTGTAGATAGTAAAAACCGTAAGTCTCTATGATGTTACGATGATAGTGTAAACACGAGTCAGTTTTCAACTGACTTTATTTGTTTGAACTGAACGGTAATAATAAGTCTTTTATCAACTGTTATTTATTTTCTGTTCATTTCAAGTACTGGGGTAATGTACACATACAAGCATAGATAAAATTACAATAACCATATTGATAAAAAAAAAGTGAATATGTACTTGTTCAAACTGTTCGATTATTTGAATATTTTTTATCATGTCACACAGATATTCTTTATCATTGTATTATTAATATTTTCAGAAGGATCAATCTGATTTTGACATGATATATTCGAACCATATGTTATAAGTCAATAAATTGAGCTTGAAATTCAAAACTCTAATCAAACACTCATCGGAAGTCTATTTGACATCAGTTATAAGGTATAATAAATATTCTTTTCTTTCTATATATAGGTATTATTGATGTTGACAGTGCAATTTTCATACCTGATTATTAATAATAGTTGACTATTACATTACTATTCTAGGACTATTCCGCAACTAGAATACGAAACATAAGTTCACGGTCATTAATAACAATAATAGGTTATATGAGTAAACTTGTAGAAATAAACCATTTTGTTCTTTTTTCTATTTTATCTAGTGTTTAATATAATTGTTGTAATTGTAGTATTTCTAAACCATCATCGACACAATATATGATTAAATCTATTTATTCGAATGAAGTCAGTTGTCTTTATTAATCATTGTTTTTTTTTCAAACATGTAAATCGAGTTTTAGTGATGGTTCATACTGTGAATATAAAGTATCGTCATTGAAAAGAAATAATTCTATTTATAATAAATTCTCTAAATAGTTTTCGTTGATGTTTTTATCTATAGTAGATGAAATTTTTTTATGTATCTTCGATTAAACTCAGAAAGAATCTTTTGATATTTAAATAAAGCTTATTTGTTTCGGGATGTAAATGTAAAAAAAATGATTTTTTTTTTGATTCATGATGAATAGAACTAATTAGAAATCTTGCTTTTAGTGAAAAGGAAATAACTGATATGCAAACATTTAATTCGCTTTGGAAACGTGCTTTTTTTATTAATTATATCATAAAGAAAGAATAAAAAAATCTAATATGATATGTAAAGATTAAATTTGGTTAATGTGTATGACATTGGCATTCTTACTAGCTGAATATCATATTAATTCGAACCACATAAAATCAGAAAGTCATAGAGTCCGTGTAGTCAAACAGTTAACATAAATCACTTTCAACAATAAAGTCCAAGTTCTGTTCTTTGGCATGAATATTTTGTTTTTTGTATGACAGGAATTCATATAGTTTTACTTTTAACGAATTAATTTCATCATTTTTTTTTTTATTAGCTCTCTTTTTTTTCTTCTTTGAGAGAAGAAAAGAAAAGAAAAGAAAATATTACTTCAGAATGGTCTATGTTTATAGTCACTTTCTCTTTTTACTGTAAGACTTTATGCGATTTCTCTATTTAACAAAGATACCGCTCACAATTCATCCTAATTGCAAATTTATTTTTCATTTGACCTTCATATGAAAAAGAAAACTATTGTGACTATGTTATGTCCAATTATGATTTTATCTCAAGGTTAAGAATATTGTGTTGAAATCGTTTATATAAAACAATATTCCATTTTTTTTTCTTTTTTTCCTATTAATGAGCAAGAAACTCTTCTACTAATATATTTATTCTAATTATATCTTTTCTATAAATATTTCCAACAAGAAAAAAATGAATAATCAGTATACAATGAATTTCCCGTCAAAATGTTTCAGAATAAATTTTTCTATAATTGTAAAGATAAAACAACATGTTAAGAATTTTAATTGCATAATAAACAATTTTTCCGAACACTGATGTAACATATCTTTGAAGATTTATTCCAAGCTCATTCACTTATTAATATTTAAAGTTATTACCTTATATGATATTCTATGGTATTAACTAGCATGCCATATATATATATATATATATATACATTGTTAATTAGTAGCCGTAAACAGAAAATACCATTTTCTAGTTGAGAAAGCATTTTCTATTTTTATGAGAACGCTATATGTTTATCTGGAGGTCATCAATTACTCTATATATCAGTTACTAAAGGTGCAAGGTCCATTTTTTATCTTGTAAATCTGCGTAGTGACTGATTAGAAATGAAAATTGATAAAACTTCTGGGATCTTTTTTTTTGTATTCTGTATTTGTCCTTCAATTAAGATAAATATTGTAGAACATTGACAAATGTTTGATTTTTTTTTGTCTTTTTGACTTTTTATTGGTCTTTGTATGATGATCATCAAGTTCTGGTAAAGCTCCACCCCATGTTGATGCATTCCCGCCTTTAGGCGATAAGGAGAAAAAAAGAGAGAGAAAAGTATGTTTGTGCAACACTGGCTTTATCGCATCACATTCGATCGGCTATCCATCTATTTAACTATCTCTCTAGTGAGAGAGTATGGCATGCTTGTGCGTGCCAATTAGTGCGTCGATCTGTAAACAACATCGAATGTCTTTCTCTCTCTCTCTCTCTCTCTGTGTTTCTATCTATCACATCCGGTTAAACCCATCGGCGCCGGTATGGATGCGCAAAAGATAAGAGATCAAGTGTCTACATGTGTTTGCCTGTTTTGCTTCTTTGCTCGCAAGATACACATTGCACAATTACCTAGCGGAAATCTTAGTAAAGTAGAAAGTCTATCATTGTATAAATCTATATGATAGTTTATCTTTTTGTACATTATAGAGAGAGAAAAAAAGGTCAAAAGCTTTACTTGGATTTTTTTCTTTTCTTTTTAACCAAAAAAAAGAGAAAGAGAGAGAGATTGATGATGATGGATCATTCTAATTATCAATCTTAGGTCTCTTCATATGCGTACGTTTTTTTTTTATTATAAACAAATCGTGATGATTACTTGCTAATCAGGCTGTTCTTCGCTATCTAGGACAAGATAACTAAAGTGTAGAATCAATATAGATTCTATCATCACTTTCGAGATTAAATCAGTCTAAATCATCGCATATCGCTATGAGTATCACAGCATTTACTAGAAAATTCTTTTTTTTTTATAACAATGATTAGTCCTTCTCGATTTCACTTATGTTGTAACACCATTGAAGATGTAAAGTTTTACTTCAAAAAAAGAAACAAAAACGAAGAAAAAAGTAACATATCAAAGTCGTCTTAAGCATCATGCAATATATTATTTTCTTTCCATCTATTTATATCGTACTTAAAAAAACACAAATTCTCCGTTGCATAATTCCGTTTTAGATTGTCAACCCATTTGTCTTCCGGTAAAATAATGTTGTGTACCCTCTCACACACATCTCAATAAGTAGTCATATAAGTCAACTAAAAAATATGGGAAATAGTAACATACATTTTTTTCCTATTCATTCCAACTCGATTACTTTTTTTTTTCTTTTTTTTCTTTTCCACATGACAGTAGTTACTAACATCTTTCAACCTAAGCAATAAGTTTTATTGACTTTTCCATCTTGTTTCTTCGTTTCCTTTTCTTTCTCTATCGCTCTTGATATATTACTCTAAAGGATCCACCTTACCAAGAGAGATAAAACATAAGTCAATTGTAGTCACAAAAGGGACACATGCATTTCTTGTATTGAATATAGTCATAGCAATCTTCTCTTGTTTCTCTTTTCTTTGTTGAATGCATGCGTTTGTCAATCAAATCCCTCTAGTAAGAGGCAAAGAGAAACATAGGAGAAAAAAAAATGAGAAACAA